GTGCTCACTCAGCCAATGCTTACTATACAGACATGATACAACTTTCATTTTATTTTTCATTGTTAGCTATCAAACAAAAGCCTCACAAAGTCCTACCACTGAGTCACAGCCACCTCCAGCAACATAACATTTTTCATTGATGGATATCAGTAATGCAGGATAATAACATTCATTTGCTGTACCGGCATACATATAAATATTGTTGTTTTTACACATAAATATTGTTATTTTCATCCATGCTTCCCAACATCACCGGCTTCAATGAGGAAAGGTTTACTTGGTTCATACTTCTGGGGCAATCAATTCATGGTCGGCTCATTCCAAGTAACAAAGTGCAGGGCAAAGCAAAAATGCCTATTGTATTTGGTGTGGAAGAAAAGCAAGCAAAAGTATGAGAGAGGAAGGGACCAGAGTCCATACAAAGTATATAAGGAAACACCGCCATAGCCGCTGCACACATGGAGAAGTATACTTCACTGAGCTGCTAGGTGTCCCTTTATCCAAACAAGCTGACAAACCACGGTTACTCACCATAATCCTCTCCTTGTCAATTTAAAAAGCAGATGCATCCCCTTCAACCATCCTTAACCTCCAAACAAACACTATAGCAGGTTTGGATTTTCACCTGGCATTACATAACCGTACACACTGGAAAAGCACTGATGACTTTGGCAAGTCTCAGCAGTCCCCACGGAGAGCTTCCTTCAGGGCCAGTGTGTGTCACTCCAGGTCCTTTACTCATTTTGATAAACCTCAGTATTCCTGGGTCGCTCATGGCTGTCGGCTCACTCAGGCTTCGATCCACTCTTCCCTGGTGTTGGCCTCTCCTCCCAGAGAAACGCACCTGTGGGTTTGGCCAGATTCCCTCAGGAGCTTTGGAGAGTTTGCTGCCCCCAGGATGCCCCCCGACAGCTCCTATCGTACAACTTCCAAAGTGCACTCTCTGTCTGGTGAGAATACTGTGATTGATTTCTAAAGTCTCACTGAACCATGTTTTGGTTTTGAACTTTCTGTAATTTCATGTTAGCAAAACTAATACATTACAATAAAATTCAACAGTGAAGTACAACCAGTAATAAACAGCAGAGAGAGAGAGATATGAAGAATTTGACCTCAACATACAGCATAGCACAGCACTGATCAGTGGTGCTGTACGTGACATACGGATCACAGTCACTTCAGATTGTGTATCTGAAAGATGAAAATATCTAAAAGTTATGTACAGGTGTTTATGTATTTATTAATTTTTATATATATATATACATATATATATTGCCTTCATTATATATGGAAATAATTTTATAAATAAAAAAGCTAATGCTCTACGATGACCAACTGATATTTTATTGGCAGATGTTATTAACAGTTCAGATATTTCTGATTTTTTTTCATGAAAAACACCAACATTGCATAACAAAATAAGAAGAGAATAACCAAGGTCAGTGAACTATGCATTACTATCTTCAAGATAGTCACAGAGAATTCAACACATGGAAATAAAAGATTCTGTCATAAAAAAAACTATTAGCAGAAAACTTTCAAGATTGTGAATTTTACAAGAAGAAAAGCTTAGAAATACATGAGAAGAAAATCTGAAACATAGAGCAGTTATCCATTATCCTACACAGTTCTCTTAGCAGCTTTTATTCTACAGGTCCAGAGAGAATTTCAAAGGAAACTTTGATCCAATCCCATGAAGAGCACAGTAAAACTCAGGGTGACATCAGCACCCAGCTTTCTATATACACTTAACCTGTGCACGTCTGCCAGCCCGCTGGTGCAGGTGCAGGGCCCTCTGAGGGGAGCTCAGGAGAAGGCAGAGAGTGCAGCGGGATAAAAGGGCAGACAGGGCTCTGCACCGCTGGATCTGCTGCCCAAAACTCTGTTAGTTTTTTACCATATTTCCTAGTTTTCTGTATCATTTATCTTCTGAAGAAGAGAAATTATGCCTTGTTAAAGCTTTCATATAGCACTTATTCATAGCATTTCTTTACTGTAACATAGTAAGAAATAAGTACCTGATTTCCAATTACTTATGAACAAATCAATATGTGCTTCTTCCTTATGTTTAAATGCTTGTCCCATGTATTTTTTTCTCAGAGTCAGCTTCTACATATACAAAGGGATGGTTGTACTCCAACAGAGGATGATGCCAGAGGGTTACAACAACTCAGGTGATATTGGACTCAATCGTATTTTTGTTTCTCTGATGGAACTGACAGTACGCGTCCTGAACACAAATTGTGGATTACATGGGGAGGATGGGGTTTCCACGAGCTTGGGGAATCCCTGCCTAGTGTACGACCTTTAGGATAGACATGAGACTCTCCTTAGTTTATACTTCAGTGTTAGGCAAATACCCTGAGAAGCTGTCTTTGAAATCTGTGAGTGAAAACATGACAAGTAAGTGACTGACAGGCTCGGCGGAAGAAGAAAGGTGGAAGCCTCAGAACCCTGCCTGGGATGATGATGTCAAGGTCCAGGAGGGGTTCGGTGTCCCTTTCCAGGTACCGTTATTATCTCCACAGTTAACTGTGCCCAAGGCGGTGTAGCTGAAACTCAAGGAGTTGGACAGAGAGAAGAAGGAACAGGTAATCCGTCCCTGGGAGTGACAGAGGTATGATGTGCACTGGTCAGTCTGAGGCCCACCGTGGCTGTTGTGTGGCTTCGTGACTGTGACTTCCCTTGAACCAGAAGCAGCAGAGGTCTTCTCAACACACCTGCACCCTCAGCCACCTCCTGCTACTTTCTGCTCACTTGGCACAGAGCACCTGGGGATCGCATGCCGCTCAGTACCTCAGCACTCAACCCGCTCTGTGCAGAAATCCTGATTACATCAGTAGATGCACTCTGTGCTTTCTTTGGAAGTTTTTAAATTTCCACAGATCTCAATACCCATCTGGATTTGAAGGGAGAAAATTGTATCATTCCTATCTACCTAGCAATGATGATCACCTACACTTCCTCAATATGTCCCATGTTTTGGATGCTGATAGCTGAGTGTCACTGTGTCACCTGCTGCATCATCTCCTCAGAGCACGGTGCTGTTAGTGAGCTGAGTATCTGAGGGAGTTTCTGAAATCATTACAAAGTCATAAAAGGCATTTGAAAGCTGCACTGTTTTCAAGCAATCATGCACCTTCACCACTGCTAATGTCTTCCCATAAAGAAGATATATATGTGCCCTCCTGTAAGTAAGAATTTTCAGCATTTAATATTTAACGTGTTAGAAATAGAAAGTTGGAAACATTTGGTATCTTTGAAGAAAAACAAATGGATGAAGGTTTTATTGGTTCAGAATGGCCAGAGGTATTTTTTGTCTATTAGACTTTCTGATAAACTTATAGCTCTTTAAAATTCCACTTTAAGTATCATTTGTACACTATCTCCCTGAATATGCTAGGAGACTTCCTGAAGTGCTATCAGGTCTAAGGTGCCCTCGGTGTGCGTTCAGTGTCTGACTTAGACAGGTGGTGAGCATCAAGCCTGAGGAGCATTATCCTTTTCAGGGTAACTTAGCTTTCCTCTCTGCTCTCCATTTTCTAAGAAACATTAATTACAGCAGTTAGTGAAAGCAAAAGCAACTGTGAAAACAGCCTAAGTCTTGTCTGGAAAACACCGGTGACCCCATAAATTGTATCTCTTACATTCTGAGATTTAATGCAAATGGTAAGAGCTTTATGGAGATGAATTTAGAGGAAAATACATATCCTAGACCAATAAAGGGGTCCTCCATGAAGCTCTATTTGAACAGGGTCACACTAGTGCACATCTCACTCATTTGTGTATATACACAGGTTCATATAAATACATTTATGGGAATAAACGTGCACATTTATGTGCAATAAGCAAATATAAGAAAACAGGAAAATTACCAAATACTCATTCCTTTTTACAGATTAGTTGAATATTTGACATATGTATTTGCAGATTTTCCCCACAGTACTCTGAATACCAAAATATCGAATGTCTGAAGAGTTATGAAGATGAAGAACTGGAGGAAATTTTCTCAGAGAATAAGAGTAGTGACTGCCATCCCTAGAATTGCCTCTGCAGAATACATAGTGTGGATGTGGACCCAAAGCACGCATGTTTATTCATTTGTGACTAGCACTCATCTGAGAGCTTTCCTTACTTTGCCTGACCTAATTCTCATGATGCTTGAATGTAAATATTCTGTTTCTCTTCAAGGCAGAGTGGACAGCACAGGAGAGGATAGGAGCAGCTTGAGCTGTGGCTGATGTCGGGCCTCCGTCTGGGACCTTCATCCCAGGATCTTCAAGTCCCCAGTGTCCAATCTGCTTTAGGGTAACCTCTTCCTTGTGGGACTGTGAGCATCATTCTGTGCAAACATAGTCCTCACAGAAAGGCGTTGTACTGTGGACAGAGGGAGTTTACACCTTCCGTGTGAATTTGACAGAAACAGGTAAATTTCAGTTATTTTAATATGTTATGTGTAGAATAAACATCTGTGCATTTTAATACCTAATCTTAAAAACAGAACTATTGGGATTGGGGATTTACCTCAGTGGTTCCACTGCCCTCTTCACAAGTGCAAGGACCTGAGCTCGATCTCCAGTTCCAAAAAGTAACTAAAAATAAAAAAATCAGACTACTGAATTGATTTCATACTTCAACTATGAAAACTCATGTAATAAGAATTTGTTTTCTCTTATTTGCGATGATGTTGCTGATCACATCGACAGCCATCGTTCTGTAACATTCTGTACTTGTAGATAAACTACAGTGTCATTAAGAAGCTCATAACCTTGAAGTGGGGAACTTCACCATCAGTTACCAATTAATCTGACCATCAGTTGTGAGCCCTTCCCTTCTTTCCACCTGCTGAGTCCTGGGTAATGCACGGACATCCAGTAGGTCCTCAGGACCCTGGGCAGCCTCTGGCTGTGCAGTCGGGTTGGTGCAGAGGCCACAGCATGGTCAGTGCACGGGCTCAACCAGGGCCATGTTACATTAACCCCAACTTCTCTTCACGGTCCAGGTGAAACCCCATGGACAAGGCCACCTGGAGGTCCAACCACACTGCCTGGGTGGATTTCGTCCTGGTGGGGCTCTTCTGTCAGTCCACACACCCAGCTCTGCTGTGCCTGGTCCTCTTCGTGATTTTCCTGATGGCCTTGTCGGGAAATGCACTCCTGATCCTGCTGATACGAGCTGACTCCCGGCTGCACACGCCCATGTACTTTTTCATCAGCCAGTTGTCTCTCATGGACATGATGTACATTTCCACCACTGTGCCCAAGGTGCTCATGGACCAGGTCATGGGTGAGAACAGGATCTCAGCCCCCGAGTGTGGGATGCAGATGTTCCTCTACTTGACACTAGCTGGCTCAGAGTTTTTTCTCCTGGCAGCCATGTCCTATGACCGCTACATAGCCATCTGCCATCCCCTGAGTTACCCCATCCTGATGAACAACAGGATGTGTCTCCTCCTGGCCTCTGGCTGCTGGTTCTTGGGGTCAGTGGACGGCTTCATGCTGACCTCTGTGACCATGACCTTCCCCTTCTGCCGATCCTGGGAGATCCATCACTTCTTCTGTGAAGTCCCTGCCGTGATGAAGCTCTCCTGCTCAGACACCTCACTCTACGAGACCCTCATGTACCTGTGCTGTGTCCTCATGCTCCTCATCCCCGTGACAGTCATCTCCAGCTCCTACACCTCCATCCTCCTCACCGTGCTCAGGATGAACTCAGCAGAGGGCCGGAAGAAGGCGCTGGCCACCTGCTCCTCCCACATGACCGTGGTCCTTCTCTTCTACGGCGCTGCCATCTACAACTACATGCTTCCCAGCTCCTACCACACCCCCGAGAAGGACATGGTGGTGTCTGTGTTTTACACAATCCTCACTCCTGTGCTGAACCCCTTGATCTATAGTCTTAGGAACAAGGAAGTCACGGGAGCTCTGAAGAGATTGTGCTGTGTGAGACCTGCAATTCAGGACATGGTAAAGTAGGGGAGGCATCTACTCATGCACTGACTTCCTTCTCTCTGCACATTAGACCTGCAGGGCCTTAGGGGGCTGTTGTTGCTCAGACTCTCACATCATGAGAGCTTGTCCCATACTCATCCCTATTTCTCTGTTCCTGAATGTTCTCCATCTCTGCACTCTATGTTCAGTCAAAATCCTTGTGGAATTGTGTTATGTTGATGCTATGTTTTCTAAAGTTGATCACTGATCTTTAACTATAGGGAAACTGCTGTTCCTATTGTTAGAAATAAACTGTGGAATATTTAGAGGAAATTGTCATAGGTTTTCAACAAATACAAGAAACAATGTGAATGATAAGAATTGGTAGATATAAAAGGCAGAAATACAAATAATGAGTGAGTCTAGTAAATCGCATCTAAGATTCACTATGCAATCACTTTCATGATAATTTATGTAAAGCTGAAATTTTACACAAAACATGAGCTCCTTCCCCTGGGCCTCAAAAGACTTACATCCATCTCATTTTAAACAATCCAAGATACATTATGTAAAGGTGCACATTCCCAATAATGAATGTCTACATATTGTATAACTAAAATATTCCTATAAAATAAATGACTAACAGACAAATAATATTACTACAGACAAAAAAATGCATGTGGTGCATCTCTAAGATTTGAAAAGCTTTAACAGTTCCAACAAAGTCCAACTCCAAGCTCTCCTCCACTACTCCAAGTAAATGCATTGCCGTGAGCCTCTATATCACAAATATGACACAGACCGGCCTTAGGTGTACACAGAGACCCCACCTCTAACGTCCCCCAGTGCTGAGACCACTCAGCTGCATTTCACTGCACACACTCCTGACCATACATGTTCTGCGCCCCAGACCTGCCCTTCAGCAGACGTCCAGGGATGACTGGACTGCTGAAGGCAGCTTCTGCAATCAGAAGTCAGAACAAATATATAGGCAAAATGAATGAATCTGAACATGGACAAAACAACATAACTCTTTCAATAGGGAGCTGTGATTAATCAGTTCAGAGAGATAAAAGCAGATAGAAAATATCAAATTACATATATACAAAGACCATTAGATTAAAAAGTTGTAGTCTGATGGGTGAATTATGACATTAGGGATATGAAAAGGAATAAGGAAATAAATATATAAGAAATTGGAACAGATAATGAAAGAAGTGGCTCAGCTGAGGTTTATCAAGCAGTAAGTAAGGGGGATTTTCAAGAAGGAAAGACTTAAAATAGAAGGGAGGGAGGGAGATAGTAAGGACAGGGATCAAAGTTTCTGAAATTGAAAGACTTGCTCACCAGTGCAGACAGATCAGTGTCCTCTCAAACAGATGAAGGGAGCCGCATCAGGACACAATCATGAAACCGCAATGTAATTGTAAAACAACTGTTTAAAAGCCTCAGGTGGTGAAAAGTAGTTCCCACACTGCTTTATTCCTGAGCTACCTTGGAGTCTTGATAGAATTGCTGACTGACAGGAGACGGTCAGGACGTGGGCTTAGCAACTGGGGAAGATTGGAACTCTGCGGTCTACATCTTGCCAACGCTCATCACCCGGGCAGATGAGAGGAAGGAGTCATCCTCAGACACGCATGATCTCTACACTTCTGCATTCTCCTTAGAAGTTGTGGAAGTTCATTCGCCACTAGCTTGTGAAGGAAGTGAAGGCGGAGGAGGGCATAGGACACAGCAGCAGGGGATGTAACAAGCAGGAGGGCGGGCGAGGAGTCGCTCTGGGGGTGGCGTGAGCCGGAACCCAGGGTCAGAGGTCCAGGTGGAGGCAGGAGGAACACTGAGGAGGGCACACGTGCGAGGGGGAATTGGACTCCTGAAGTACTTAGGTGGTGTCTTAGTGCAGATTGCTAATGCAGAAAATGAAATTAATGTTGGAATATTAATATATTGAGAATGGCAGTCACCAGGCTGTGAATGGGTTCGCATAATGATCTTGAATTTCCCAGCCTCTCCCTAAATGCTATGAAAATGCATGCATCTCCTTTATGAATTACCCGGGCCCAGGTTTTTTTTTTTGTTTTGTTTTGTTTTTTCTACCATGCAAGTGAGATAGATCAGTCTGCACTTTGGCACCAGTATAGTCCATTATAAACCCGCTTCAGAGATGGATCTGGGCTCTCGGTCTGAAGCCGCTGTGACGGTAACCCCTGAGAGTCCAAGCTCGAGCTTGCAATAAACTCCTCCTGTAATTGCATTGGGCCCCACTCCTTGGTGGTCTTTGGGGACTTTGTGACTTGGGCATAACACCAGTCTTACGGAAATGGTCCCAAAGAAAATGTCCATCAATGTGTATGAATCAAAGAACAATATTTAAGAAATATGAAGGAATATGTAATTTTTGAAGTTTGATACATGTAAGATAGATATATGTGGAAAACATGCTAAGGAAGAGAAACCAGGTACATAATGCTAAACACTGCACAACTTCATTAACAAATATCTAAAGCCCTCAAATTTAGGTACATTGAATGTGGATTAATATCTGTGAAAGATTGGTACTGTAAGATAAAGGATGATATTAACAAGAAAGCATTTGTTTGGGAAGTGAGGAAATCATTTAAAATAATATGGACTATTGAAACCTCTGAGAATATTCTACAAACACACTGAATTTTGCACTTCAGACTGGTGACTGATATAACACGGGAACTATATGTCATTAAACTGCTTATTTAGTTCAGCAGCACAGCACCTGCCTGGCAAACTCCAGGTCCTGTGTTTGATCCCCAGCACCAAAAAAGAAAAACCAAGAAAACAAACTGCTAAACTCAATTAAAAATGTAATCAGAAACATGACAGAAGTATTCATACTATGGCTTGGATTTTGCAGTATGCACTAAGTAAGTCTCCTATCTGTTTGCAGCAAAAAGACTCCAGTGTGAGAGACCACCCCATGGGTTATGCCCTAAGCAGGCTGTGAGCAGCGCAGGCTGTATAGTGTTAATCCTTCAACTGGCTTGTTTTCAGAAGCGAGTCTGGCTGAAACCTCTGTGCAGAGGTAAGAACTACTGATGCAAAATTCTGTTCCCAGAGTTAAAACATTCTTTAGTTAAAAGACAGATTTAATTATTAACCACAGACTATATTTTGTCTGTATCATTCCTAATTCAAAGGTGCTTTGCCTCTTCCCTTACAAGCCTTGCCTGCATCACTAAAGTGTCCACAGCAATTGCAGGCCCTCTCACAGAGCCCCTTTACCACAATCTAACTAGACAACGCCACCGATAAATATTGACTGCTGGTGTTCAGGGCCTTTGCTTGTTCAGCTTTGCTTGCAAGAGCATTGGTCCTCTTGGCTCCCCCTGTCTCTGTCTCTTCAACTGTTTCTATAAGTGTTTCTCGTCTCCGTGCATCACAGCACTGAGGAAAAGATCGGAACACTTCACGGGAGTCTCTGATATCTCAGGTGCACCCCTGCAGTCTCTGCAGTCACCCAAGGTGGACAGCACGGGCTCGCATCCTAACTGGGCAGAGGTGTTACTGGCTCTCCCTATTACACTGAGGTCCACCACACATCCGTGCACAGCCTCCTGTACCTGTGACTTACACCCTTAACCACTTCTTATTTGTTTATCTATGACTTTAAGTCTCTTACTGATACATTCTCATTGTTGATTCTTCCAGTAACATCTCCAGCCTTCCCACTGTTGTTTAGTCTTCTAAAAACATTTCACTCTTAATAGCTCTCACTACGTTTCAATTATATACATGTGTATGCCCAATAAATGTGTAGTACATTTCATAAAAGTATTTCTTGATTTGGATTTTATTTTTCCTGAATTTAAGTCATATATTTTCAAAATAATACAACTTTCTATATGTTTCAATTTATGGTAAGTACAAGTTTTATTTTATTTTATATTGCTTCTTTTGTGAGAGAACTCTTCTTTTTATTTTACTGAATTGCAGCTGAGCCTGAGTCCAGGCCCCTCATTGGGGCAACACCCATACAGTCCCAGCTATGTTAATACATTAAAAAGAAATATTAAAGATTGCAATGCTTTTCTAGTGGAGGCAATGCCGTCAACCTTTAGGATTTTATGGGGATAGCAGCAGAGACTCACCAGCAATGTGCACGGCAGCTTCCCATGGAGGATTTCCTGGATCTGACCTGTAAAGCATTTGGTATCCCCAAAAGGAAGCAGGTCAAGCTGTCCACCTGATCTACATCTTCCTGTTCTACTTCCATGAACAGGTTCAGAGTTTGCTGAGGATGCAGCGACTTCTCAGAAGAAACTGAGATTCACACTTGGCTGACATTAAGCCATCCATGGGGAGATATTCATGGGTTTGCCTGGATCTAATCAGCAGCCAGGGCTTACAGACAACTGAGGAATTCTTGGAGGTCAGAGAAACTCTCCTTCTCTCCTTGAAGAGACAAGGTGCCAAGTTCATGCAAATGCAAATAAATTATTCTGGAGCCAACCCGTGGCATGTAGAAGATGACCGGAGCTTCGTGTGGATCTACAGAGCCAGCCAAGACCAAGGTAGCAGATTTCTGAGACCCTGCACTGAGGATCCAGCTCCACCAGGTCAGGGCTGTGCCTCATTCAAATGGCAACAAAAATATTAACACTGGATAATAAGAAGGTTACGTTTTATCTGCTCTAAAGTCACTAGCCATGTCTTTCATTATGGTCACCATCTCCTTAGATACCTGAAAAATTATTTCCGATTTGATTTTTTTGGACAGCCTTGTTAATTTGTTTTGTTAATTCTGTTATGCACACTTCAGAGTGTCCAGGTGGGTTGCTCCCAAATTATTTTGTCTCATTTCTCCCTGAGTTTGCCCTTGCAGCCTAGAAGTCTGTGGTTGCATCTTGCATCCATGTCTTCTCATTCTCTACTTTTTTTAGTTTAATTCTTAGTTTTGATGCTTTTAAATTTCTTCTCCTAATAGTTTTATTGCTAGTATTTATAATCCTTGGGAAATGACTACTTTTCAGTGTTGTCTTTCAGGTTTATTTGGCTTTTGTATTTTAAATCTTTTGGAAAATCCTACCTCCTCCATTTTGGTGGGGTGAGAGGTTGCTGCTTAGATCAATTATCCCCTGATTCTTTGACAATGGCCTATGGTATTATTTATGACCCTCAGGTATTTTCTATCTAGTATACTAAGAAGAACCTCTGATGAAACCCATTATATTACCTTGGATTAAGTAGTACAGTAAGGAATAATAATAGCCTCAAGCACAGCATAAAAATTGGCAAACTGTGGTAACTATTAATTTTCCACCTTTAACCATATGAACTAGACTTATAGTTATATAACAAAATCTAAAACAAATCACAAAACCATATGCAGTAAACGTGTCCTCATTAATGTGATTTACCCTGAGGGGAGAAAATTTAAAAGAGGTTAGGGGGACAAATAGAAAATCAGATCAAGAAGGAGAGATTAGAAGCAAGGCTGGAGGACAAAGGAAGATAACATGAACTTTGGGAAACTGGTAAAGAAGGCAGGAGGGAAAGAGACAAGAAGGAAATGAAAACAAGAATAGACCTAAATAACAACAAGCTAGAAACGATATTCGCACTCATATAAAAAGAAGAACAAACAATAAAATAAGAAAGAAAACAAAATGAAGAAGAAAAGAAGAAAAACTTTGTACGAATCCGGGTATGCCTCTGCTATTACTGGTAGACATTTTGGACAGACAAAGCTCAAATTCATGGTGATTAATCCCAGCAAGCCCACGAAAGATTTATGGTGGGATAGTGGATAACCCTAGCAAGCCTGTGCCTTTAGACCCGCTGAAGTTCAGGACTGTTTTTGACTGTGAGGCTGGAAGCCAATTTGTTCAGCCTACAACTCTATGTGTACTTCCTGCTGTCTTGAACTCGGTCCCCTGACAGCTGCCTACACCCAGTACGCACAATGTGAAGAAGGGAATATTTATCTTGACTCACATTTTCAGTTCATGTTTGGCTGGTTCTCAAGGCAGAAAGGTCAGAAGAAGGGCAGGGTTAGGGCAGCTGCTCAAATCATGGCAGCCAGGAAAGAGAGCAGGAAGAGCCAGAGAAGGAGATTCAGTCTTCTAACTCACAAGCAGTGATCCGCTCTGCTCAAACCCTGTCACCTGATGTGAAGTGAGCGGCAGTGCCTCCACAGAACACTCACAGTGCAAGAGCCCAACTCTGAGCACTTGAAGCTTTAGGGGAACATTCTGAATCGGAAGCTGAGCAGTGTGACTCTGGCTCCCAAATGACTCGTGTCCATTTCTTTATGCAACATGCATACTCCGACTCCACAAGGCTTCGGAGGTTTAACATTTTCAGCAGTGTTGAAAAGTCACCAATCAAAGCATCCTCCAACATTCAAGGAAATCTCACAGTTTTAGCCCCTGTAAATATCAAAAAGAATGTTAAAAGCTTCCAACATACAGTGTCAAGGAGTTAATATTTACATTATAAAAAGGAGAAATAGGGGAACAGAAAGAAATGGGACCAAAGGAAGACCAAAACCCAGCAGGGGAACATTTAACTCTGTATCCCCACGTCTCATACTTGGGGCGTGCTGATTGAGATAGGAGCTCTGATGTGCTTGCCAAGCCCACCTCCTACCTCAGTGAGGGTTGTAGTCCTCGTGGCCTCGCTCTGAGGCTACCTTTGGTTATTGCCTGTGGCTTCTCACAGACATTCCTAATTCTAAATTTCTACCTTTTATTTGGAGTCTCTACAGCTCCTTGTAGTTTATTCACAGACTTTCATACTTTTCCCTCTCAGAGGTGCAGTCCCTGCTCTCTGAGGCCTTCTAAAATCTCAGTGGGCTCCATCAGTCAAGAAAAACTAGCACCACGTGTATAATGCTGATGTAGGCCACCAGCCCCAAAACTAGGAAGGCCTCTCTCTTTGGATTATACTTGCACTAGTCTCTCTCAGTCTCTGGGTGGTTCAGCACTATGAACCAGTGCGGATCCAATTTTGTAGGAACCCAACTCCAGTAGGGCACCCTGGGGCTCTCATAGCAAAATCTTCTCAGTATGTTATTATAATTTTACACTTGTCAGCAAGTAAATGGTGGGGTCTTGGTGATTGGTGAGATGCCTTCAGCCATCTTTACTATTGCTCTGGTGTGATGTATTTGTTTCCTTTTCACTGCTAATGTATTTAGCAACCACATTTTCCATGACCCTAATTATGCAGGTTCTTTGTTTCTCTTGAAGCTGCAGAATTTACAAATGGAGTATTTTCCCTTAATTTTTATTGTAATTCTGGCTGAATACAGTAATAAGCACACATGTCACAGAAGGAACATTGAGCTGCCTTCAAAATTTCCTCTGTCAGATTAATTAGTTTGCTCCCCTTGGACCCACTTTCAAGCAAAATCTCAAAATACAAGACAGACTCTCAGGAAGTTTCCTTTTGCTTCAGAGCCAGGATTCCAGAAATTCAATACAAGGACAGAATATTAAAAGATGATAAGGAAAGGAATAAAATCACCTATAAACGAGAGCCTATCAGAGCCAAAACTGACTTCCCAGCATGAACACTCAAGACAAGGAGATCTTGCAGTGAAGCGTTCCAAGACCTAAAGAAGCAACCTCCAGCCCAGGTTGATGCATCTTGCAAAAATATCTTTCAAAATTAATGGAGAAATGAGATATTTTCACCACAAAGAACTGAAGAAATTTATGACCGACAAACCAGGTCTCTACGCTGTTCTTAAGGATATCTTAGAAAGAGATCACAAAGCCCGCAATTCCAAGAAGACTAATGGGAAAAATGTGCCAGGGAAGGCAAGTAACTAAATACAGAGGAAAGGCAGGGAGTCAACAACAGGAAGATAATGTAACAATGACACATCAATGAATATCAGCTATAGCATCAAGTACAGTCTCAATTCACCATTTTAGGCTTTTTAAAGCTGGCATGTTTCAAGTCTCTGGATGAATCCCAGAGTCTCGCATGTGCTTAGCGTGCCCTCTAGCTCTGAACAACTTCACACAGCCCTCAGGACTACTAGTTTTGATGAGAATTTTATTTGGAAGCCCTGTAACATTATTGTACTAGTCATTTTCTGCTGGCTGGGACAAATACCCAGCATCACTACATAAAAGAAGACAGGTGTCATACTTTCCATTAAATTCAATCCGAACTCAGGAGGCTGCAAGACATGAAAGTCCTGGTGGAAGGGCCTGGTGGACTCTTGATTTTATGGCGCCATAGAAGGAGAGCAGGAAGGAAGGAGCTAGGCATGAAAAGACACCCGCAGCTGCCAGCGTTTGGCCCTAGTGACCAAACTGCTCTGACCAGGGTTACCTTCTAACGCCACACTCAACTCTGAAGTCATCAGTGAGTGAATCCATTTGTGAGAATAATGGCCCATGATCTAATCACCTTCCACACAACAGACAATTTGGAAGAAATTTTTAACTGAAATTCATAGCCTTTGGGTGTTTTTCTTCATAATAACAAATATTTTATAGAATATTAAAATTATTCAAAACAACATAGGAAAGTAATCTTGATGTATGATATGTTCAACTACTTTAGACATTAAATCTACAATAAAGGATACATAATAGCTCCAGTAAGTTATATTCATTTATTGCCAAAAACATAACTACGACCAAATTGAATAGAGAACGTCTCCTTAGTTCTGAACACATTTCCTGAATTGTACCTTCTTTTCATGAGTTTCCTGATGGCGCACTTTATCTGTTCATTTCTGAGGCTGTAAATAATAGGGTTGAAGAGGGGAGGAATCACAGAGTAGAACACAGACATGATGACGTCTCTGGTGCTGGCAGATATTGCAGAGGGTCCCAGGTAGACATAAACACCTGAGCTGAGGAAAACCAAAACCACAAGAATGTGGGGGACACAGGTGGAAAAGGCCTTCTTCCTGCCTGCTCCCACTGGAAACCTGAGCACGGTAGAGAAGATGTAAATATAAGACTTGATGATATAAGTGAATGACCCACCACATATCACTACACTAGACACAAGAATTGTGATCTTGTTGCTGAAGGGGTCTGAGCAAGACAGCTTCAGCAGAGAGGGGATGTCACAGAAGAGCTGCTGGACAGCGTGGGAGTGGCAGAAGGGCAGTCGGAAGGTGTTGAGGGTGTTCAGGGCTGCATAGATGAGGCCACTGAGTAGAGAGGCCAGGGTGCTGTGGACACACAGGCGAGGGCTCATGATCACAGGGTAATGGAGGGGCCTGCAGATGGCTGCAAAGCGATCATGAGCCATGAAGGTGAGAAACAGTACCTCTACAAATGCAAAGAAAATCACAAGGAAGACCTGGGCTACGCATCCTGCCCTTGAAATGTAGCTTGTGCCCAGCAGAGAGTTCATGCAGGATTTAGGGACGGTGACAGAAATGTAGCAGGAGTCCAGGATGGACAGATTCCTCAGGAAGAAGTACATGGGCGTGTGAAGGCTCTTGTCAAGAGTGGTGACAGCTGCAATGACCAGGTTTCCCATTACGGTCACCAGATAAATCAGAGAGAAGAACATGGCATAGAAAACCTGTAGATCCCGCATGTCAGAGATCTCCATGAGGAGAAAGTCCGTTGTCGTGGAGGAGTTGGACATCTGTGGGAGATGTGGCTGTGCCTGAGAAGAGAAGACAGAAGTGTTGAACCCAGGTAGAATCACAGTGTGTAAAATTCCTTCATAACTAGTAAACTCCCAACCCTGAGATCACAGGGATGTTTGGTGTCTGGTTCTCCTGATATTTTAGGATAATTCTGCATTAGTCTGTATAACTTGATATAATTCAAAAAGGAAAAAAAATCACGTGTTTTGGTTTATTCCCAATGATAAGACTACCTCATTCAAAATCCTAATCTGCATCATAGAGTGAAATAAACTTGGTTTTCTTCTCTCTCTCTCTCTCTCTCTCTCTCTCTCTCTCTTTATTTTTCTCTTTGTTTTTTGTTTTCCTTCTTAGGATCTCACTCAATACCCAGAACAATTTGTAATGCTAAGGACTTTTTCTAACACTGAGATAATTTTTCCTCAGCATAAAAGTGGCAGAGATTGTTCAGAGTGGGCTTCTCTATTGTATTAGGAAAATTATTTCTTTGTCTCTATCTCTTTCTGTCTCTCTCTCTGTCTCTTTCTTCCTCTTTTCTATTAGATTCATAATAGTATTGAGCAAAAGGCTTTGAAAAGTAGGGAAATTACACAATATCAAAATCGTTCCTGAAATATCCCCAGTCATTATTGTCAGGTATGTTGACATCATGCTTGCTGTTTTCTTCCATTTTCAGAGCATTTCATAGTGTCACACACTAGGTAAATTTTATTTATCAACCCTACCCCTCTAAAGGTCCTGAGAGTTAGTATTCCCTCCACTTTTTAATACAGTTGAAGTCTGTTTCACTGAAACATATTGCTTTTAGCATTGTTGTGCTCATGCCTCTCTTTACATAGTCTATGATCTCACTTTCATTGGTTTGGGACTGAAATTTCCAAGTTTTCTGTGAAGTTAATATGACTTATCCCAAACAAGAAGATACTATGTAGTAACCACACACAATTTTTGCAAAACATAATGAGCAACAGAAACCTGGATATCTAGATTTAGATGAGGTGTCATTAATATTTGGATATAATTTACAAATAAACAAATATTTACCATTCTGCATTGAATGAATAATAATTTTATGGTATATAAATAATTCCAATACACCCAATTAAATAGCAGAGGGCTTTTCTCTTGAGGAGTAAAATACCTTGGTAATTTGTCAAAATAGAGATATTTAAAGTTTACATTTCCACAAGCAAAGCTCATCAAAGTATTTTCTGAGTTAAAAGTCACTCAGTACCAATACATATTCTGCTTCTACACAATTTATTTAAACAAACTACATGGTTAGTTTTGTTAGAATGCATCATTCCAGCTGTGAGGAAAGTGCTAACTGCATTTCTCCTCCACCGAATTTAGATATGGGAACGCTTCACAAGATCAACTGCTGCTTTCCGTAAAAGCATCACCTCAAATCTTTGTACACATATTGAATTGATAAAAAGCTTCAGATTTCATGAAGATGCTTTCAGTGAACATTTCACCGTTTGTTTCTTCCTACCTTTTTAATTGTTGAAGTTTACATTTATGAAATCATGGCTTTGTATGTGAGAAAATAACCTATTTGGATTGGATTTTTAGATGTTTGCTTTTCCTTTTGGCAATCCTACTAACTACTGTGAAGCCTTAGGCTTCAGTGTGTGGACGGATATGATGACACTAAGATATGCTTGAGATATTTATTGTGTGCAAACATTTCCAACACTGTGAGATAATTGAAATGGTAGACACCATGCATGAAACTTTAATTCACTGATAATGTGATGATATTAACGTAATAATATAGGCATTGTTTTAGAAAGTGTAATGCTATGTTTAAAATATGTAATCCTTACATGTGCAAATTGCAACATAAAAAATGTAGGTAATTAAAATTTTCCCTCAAAATAATTTAATCTTTTTCTTTGTTGAAATGAATTAATAACCATTTTTTCTCACGCAAAAATCATTAAATTAATATTCTGTCACGGTCTCGAATGGAACTATATCTCCTTTAATGTGAAGTCATTATAAAATGCATGCCTTTTGCAACAAAATGAAATGTTTTCCTCCTTGTACACTGCAGAGTTTTAAAAAGAAAATTCATTAAATAATTTTAATGATTCATTCATAGCGTCACCAGTCCACCTAATAATTTAGTTCTCAGTTTTTCTGGAAATTACAATTGAGTATCCAGCACCCCACCGCTAAGGCCCAGCTAAAAGGCATTGACAAATGAGGGAGAAACTGTAACCAGATGATCTAATCAAAATGCAGCATCTTTAGAAAAAGATTCTTGGAGGAATCAAATTATAAAACATTACAATTTATGTTTTTATCATATTTATATTTCTTCACTTTTCTTTAAACAGTAGCTTTCCTTCTGAAGGAAATTTGTAGTCCTAAAAGTTAAATCTGCATCTGAGATCCTCTGAAACCACAAGCAGCCAGCATTCAAGTGCAACTCAAGAGTTGGGTCTTAAGTTAAAACTAGATTTCCAGTCAAAACCCAATTCATTCCTATGTGAATCCAGCTGTGACTCAAAGGTCAACTGTATATCATCCCACGCAGATAGTTTTGTGTTTGATTGAATGCATTCTTTTTTCAAATAAGATATTAATTCATTACAAATTAATGAATGTTCAGCATAGCAGGAAGGACAGAGACAGTTGTCATGATTTTCAAAATAATACCCTACACGCACCAGGTCCACACTGTGAAAAATCAGTTCTTCCAGTAGCTCTTTCCACCGCAGAAGATGTCCAAATGTACAGGAGCCAACTCTTCAAGGAAGAAAACTCATCATTCTTTGCTCATTAAAAGACTTCAGTAGGAATTTTATGGTCCAGCTATAGTCTCCAGGGACAGCTTCATGTGACTGTGTGACAACTGTTGCATCATTCTAAGTGTGTAGTTCAGGGAAACAACTTTAAATGCTGGCACAGCCCTCAGAGACTCATCAGGAGATCCAGAGAACACGGTTCCTCCATGACAAAGGAATTTGGCCGAATAGGTGCGTATTTCTGGACCTCAGAATTGTTTGTACATCTGAAAACATTAATGTTCACTTTCTTCTTGCAGTATCTGGTACATTAGTGACTTTCGGCTCTCATAGGAAGAAATGAAATGATGGAAACCCTCGTACACGGGCACTTGAGAAGTCTATTTGCTGCTGAGACTGTTTGGAATGAACTATACATTAAAACTCCTCAGTAAAACTACTTAAGCTGAAAATTGTGTAATTAAGCACTATTTCAAGAGTGTTGTCTAGATTCCCTATTTATACATAAATGATGCACTAAGATATGTGCTTGCCTAAGTAAGCATGCATTTGGAACACTAGTCAGGTTTATCAAATCACTGAATGGTCTGTAAAATAGAAAAAGAATGTCTGTCTATCTAGAAAAGCAAATGGAATGGATTTTTACACATTGGTCACCTGAGGTTCAATATGTGCAGACCAGGACTAAATTTTTCTGCCACAAGAGAGAGATTTTCTACTTAAAATTGTTTAGATTTGATTTTTTTCAAAAATGATTGTAAATGTAATTAAAAGTATTAATACACACTCACTATTGTCTTTTATTATTTATGTAGAACACTGAGCCCTTTTCATAGACCAAGGTCAGAAATTGGCCTAAGGAAACAAGCTCTTACATCTGTTGGTCAACAGTACCATAAATAAAGAAGTGGTTTGTTACCATCTGTTAAAGTGATCAGCAACAATGAACTTCTTAGTTTTACTCCTGTCTCTCTCAAGGTCATACTTACCTCATATTTTACAGGACAGACAGCAACCCTATGAGGTAAGTAGGACCTTGAGAGAGACAGGAGTAAAACTAAGAAGTTCATTGTGGACTAAAATGAGCACATTTAAACATCAATGATAAAAACTCTTGAATGATCTTAGATCCATCCACCATAATGACACTAAAATTAAAACATGTTGTTGATCATTTTAACAGATGGTAACAAACCACTTCTTTATTTTAAGCATTAGAAAAATGTAGGAAATGAGGAAGGATTTATCCTGCTTACACCAACCTAAACAACCCTTCAAGCAGCAATGTGAGCTCTGTAAGCTCCATCAGTGAGCCCAGCATAGGTGAGAATATCAGTGTTAATTAGACTTCATTTCAGTTGGTTTACATTTAAACTTAAAAGTTCACAGGTGCCCACATTTTGGACATATGGTTAATTGAAAACACAGGAAATTTATTTCTATTCTAATTTAAAATCTGTAATGCATGTTACAATAAAAAAAGAGAAAATTATAAAATGGAATCCATTTTAACACAATTTAAACAGTACTAATAAAAACATTTTGTTTATAAAGTCACTTTGACAGAAATGTGAACACACACACACACACACACACACACATATATATATATAAAATAGTGTTCGGAATTTACATTTAAAATGACAAGTGGTAGAGCAAGAAATTAGGTCGATAAAAGCATTAAATGTGTGATAATGTCTAATAAACCTGTGTGATCAACTCGGACAGGTGCAGTGCACATTCACTTTTCAATTGTATTTCATTTGTACATATCAGGGTACAGTTTCCCTTAGGGTGGATGGCCATGTACTTCACACATTTGCTTCGTTTTTATTCCTCTTCCTCTTCCCTCCCCCTGCAGCTCTAGATCCCCGTGTTTGCTTCATAGTATGTTTACTGTATTTACTTTTAGTTCATTTTTGCAACATATACTGTTTATATTCATAGTAAATTGTACACGTTACATGACACATCTTCAATATTTTTACATTTCCTCTCCTTCCAGCCTCCCTTCATTAAGGATCTCTTTGCCCCCTTACTATTTGTAAAGATCTATTATTCTGTTTCCTTTTATCAAATTTTTATTTTGCTCTTTGTTTTCAGTTTTTCACGCTAGAGAAGTGATCAGATATTTAATCTTGTTTCTGATTTTTTTCATTGATCTTATGGGCTCAAAATGTGTCTTTCTCTTTTTCTTATTGCTGAGACAAAATACCTGAGACTCACAAGTTAAGGGAGGA